ATTTTAATATGATACGACACCATAAATAAATATTATATAAAAAAACAAAAAAACAATTTTTTACCAATTTTTCAAATCACTTTCCAAAAAAGTCGAAAAGTTTGGTAAAAAGCTAAAAGTCAAGTTTTTACCATCTTCTCAAAACACCACTTAGTGTAATTATTAAAATTAAAGTCACTAGCAACATAAAAAAGCAAGCAGGCTGATTGGAGAAGGACAAAAATATAGGTGGTGAAATTATATAATTGCCCTCCATGAAATTATGTAATTGTTTAAACAATCACATGGTCAAAAAGTAATTTTTCTAAGTTTGGTAGGGATATTTTGGTCATTTTAATATGATGTGACACCATAAATAAATATTATATAAAAAAACAAAAAAAAAATAGTTTTTTACCAATTTTTCAAATCACTTTCCAAAAAAGTCGAAAAGCTTGGTAAAAAGCTAAAAGTCAAGTTTTTACCATCTTCTCAAAACACCACTTAGTGTAATTATTAAAATTACAAGGGAGGTCCCTGCAATTATCAAAAATCTTAGAGGGGTAAGGGTAATTTATCATATAAAATTTATTATAAAAAGAATATGGCTGTAATATTTTTATTAATTATGATTAAAAAATAATGTTATACAAATAAAAAAATTTGTACCTAATTTTTATACATAGGCTTTGTTTGGAAAGTGATTTGGCTTTTTAGTTTTTTTGGCTATTTTAGCCTGGGGTTAAAAAACCTAATTTGGGAAATGTTTTTGATTTTTTTAGTTTTTTGACCTTTTTATGAGAGAAAAAAATATAATGATTATAGATTGAATATGATATTTTGTCTTATTAGGCTAAAAAGCCTATTTTATTTTTTGTGACTATTTTAACCAAAAAATCCTCAAACCCATTTTCCCAAACATAGGCATAATAATGTGGTTTGTTGTGAACCTTTCATTTCAAAACAAAACACTTGAAGATGGGTTTATTTAAAATAATGTTATTGTCATATTATTCTTGTCAATTTTTTTTTATAAAAATTTTAAACATGTTTAGAACTTTACAAGATTAAAATAAAAAGATCTTAATTTGCCACATTACTTTGCCTAATATTTCTGTAATTTATTTCTATTTATATATTATTATTCTTTTTAACTTGTTATGAATTAAATAATCAAATTATATGTACGGTCTGAACTATGACTTCCTGTCACCTTCCCTTCTTTAACTAATATAATTGCAAAATTTTATCCCTAACTTAGGGGTTAGTTGGGGTGTCCTAAATAAGTGTACTTTTTGTCTTTTTAGATTAAAAAGTTGAGAGAAAAAATATAAATGTTTGGGTTAACTTTTTGACTTTTTATGGAAAAATGTGTAATAAAAAATTGTAAAAATTGGTTTGTAAGGAAAAATTAGGATTGAGAATTGTGCAGCCGTAATTGTTGACTTTTGGTGAATAGTGTTAACTTTTTGACTTTTTAACTTTTTTTACACTTTTCAAACTTGGCCTTATTTTGAAAAGTATGTTAAAAGTTAATTTTTTTAGTTTTTTTTTTAATTTTTTTTTTTTGTAAAATAATCGTATAAAAAAAATAAAAAAATAATATGACCTAAAAAATTAAAAAATAAAAAACTAAATTTTAATCCAGATACCAAAATAGGCTGAAATATCAATATCCTCCAAACAAAAAAATGTATATTTTTTTTTTGAATTGTCTTTTATATATTTTATAAAATTTGAGATGGTATGTGCTTTGCGTACAATAACTTTTTCTTCATGAACTATTCACCAGGTTTGTTTTCAATTTTTTGAAAACACTTTTCAAATAATTTTATATTTTTATTTTTCGTATTTTTTTTATTTTTACTGATTTTTTTTAATATTTTAAGATTTTTTTTTTAAATTTTTAGACACACCTAACATAAAGACACTTAAAAAGTATAATTTTTATAAAATAAATCTTTAAAAATTCACTAAATACCAAAAATATAAAAAAATAAGAAAATTTACTACATTTTTCGTATTTTTGTGTATTTATTAATTTTTTAAATATTTTTTCATAAATATTTTACTTTTTAGATACATCTAAATAATGTGCATCTAAAAAAGTAAAAAAAACAAAGGCTTAAAAATTTAAAAATATTCACTAAAAACAAAAAAAAATGAAAAACAAAAAGCGTAATTTTCAAAAAATTAGATTTAAAAAATTGAAACCAAACACACTAATTAATATCCTCATATCATTATTTTGTATTACTGTCTACAATATTCATAATTGATTTTATTATTTAAAAATGTTTTTTAAGAAGTTAATAAAAATAAATAATATTCACAAGTATTCATTATTAGAGCTGCAACAGTATAGCTCTAATGAGCTGCCCAACCATAAAAAAAAAAAAAAAGTGAAGTAAAAGACAAAAAAAAGGAAAGAAAAAGACAAATTAAAGATGCATTAGAGGTCTTTGTTTAGTGGTCCAAATCATTTTTGATAATATAAAGAGGTAATGTATAATAGTTTGTGTAAAGTGCCAGTTACCATTTCTCTAAGTTTGTCAGAGAAAGAACAACCACACATGTCAAGATTGGTGAATAAAATCACTGCAACTAATTTATATAAATCATGATTCATATATGTATATATACAATGGGAAATATATTTGCACTACAACACATAAAAATTTTAGAGGTTAATTTTTTTTTAAACAAGTACTTTGTTGCAAAAAAAATATATTTAGAAATTAATTTCAATTATCGCAAACACAGTCACTAAAAATATAGTTATTAGAATCCCGATTTGGATTTTACAATTCATTTAGACATAATTGATCTGTATCGTGTATTTTTTTTTTTTATAGGTAGTGTGGGGATATAATTTTTGAATGACAACACGTGTCTGATGTGTCACCGCAGTGCCAGCCGAGGTGCCACGTGCCCTGGTCATGACACCGAGATGATATCGGCTAGGCTAAGGTTATCTACAAAGAAACTGAAATCCAGGATAAGCAGATAAAGGATAAGAGTCTTATAATGGGAGAGGACTTCAGTTTGGATAAAGATAAGATTCTTAGAGAGTTTATCCAAATCCTATTGGGAGTCTAAGATTAGCAGTAATTCTAAGTCCATTGAAGCTGAGCTTCTATTCGGATTAGGTAAGTGTTGGCTATAAAAGAGAGGCACCCTCATGGGTCTAAGGTATGCTTTTTATTCTGAATAGTGAGTTAAGCACTTTTGCTATCTTTGAGAGATAACCAACTTGATCGTCGGAGTGCACCCGGGTGGACGAACCACCGCTGAAATCTCTTCTTTTTGTGACAGGTCGTTCGGGTTTAATCTATTCTGCCAGCATTCTCTAACTGAGTGCTTGATTGGCAGTGTGGTTGGAAATTGACACACACAGGTAGGATCTTTCAATCCTAATAATGAAATCTTATAGGATCGTGGAATCTCGATCTGAATCCGATCAAATTTACAAACCTTGTTTTGTATTGTATGACATATTTTATTGTAAATTTTATATTTATTGTTTAAATACCAATTTATGCGGTCTAAATAAATAACACAAATTAAGTAGTATTGAATGAAATACACTAAGAAAAACAAATTAAGAAACAAAAATTTAAATATTACAGTAATTTAAGAAAATTAACTAGTCGGAAAAATAAACTTAGTTTTAGCGGATTATGAGAAGGGCAAGATGACTACAATTTTATCCCAATTTTCGGAGAGGCTATTTTGTGACACAAATCCACTCCACCAGAAATGCTAACGACAAACCTTATCCTTCGGTTAAATCGCTCTTTTGAGTTCTCAATCTATTTTCATATCCAATTTTATTAAATATTTTTTCTTTACTTTTTATACATTGTTGTAGATTATAAAGTATTTTGTTATAGAATTCTTCTTCTTCACCTTCTGTTTTGACGAAATACAAAATTTTTACGATCGAGTTTTCTATTATATAATATTATACGTACATTTTACATGAAGCATTATATTTTTCACAATATCTTCACTTCTTTTTAATAGAATATAGGCTCATTTTGTGTATATTTTTTAAGAAATATTTATTTAAATTAAATTATTACGTAATTTGTTTTTTTCGGTAGGATCTTACGATCTTTAATCCGATTTTACGATCCAATCCTGTAAACACCTCCAACGATCCAACATAGGATCTTGATTTTAACAACCTTTGCTCAAAGTTCATTTCGAAAAGTCAAAAAATGAATTTTTAACAGTAATTTAAAAAATGTCACTAATAAATGCACTTTCATGGACTAAGTAACTTGGTCTCTGATGCTGTATTTGGTTGGGGGATTTGGAGAAGAATTTGGAAAGGGAAAGGAAAAGGTGTGTGAAACTAGGTAAAATGTAGGTATATTTTATTCACATTTCATCTATCTTTTCCATTTTTCTTTCCAAATTCGTTCTCAAATCCCCCAACTAAACACAGTATAAAAGAATTTTTTGAGACAAAACTTTTAATTCCTAAAAGTTAGTAATTCATCACTAAATGTCCAATTTTATCACTAAAAATAAAATAATAACACTTTTAGAGACAAAAAAAATTTTGTCCATAATATTTTGTCTCTAAAACCTTAATTTCTTATAGGTTGTGTTTGGTTGAGAGATTTGGAGAGTAATTTAGAAAAGAAAAGAGAAAAGAGATATGAAATTAAATAAAATATAAATATATTTTATTTACATTTTCATTTACTTTTTTCATTTTTCCTTTCCAAATCTCCTCCGAGACCTCCCAACCAAACACAATCATTGTGTCACGTGGCAGACTGTAATTCGTAATTCCAAGTATCATTCAGAGAGTGAATAAGAGAGGATCAGCTCCCAATGATCACATGGTCTTGTGTATTGAGACACATACATGAAGGCCCACTTTGCTAACACTAGAACAAACACTTTCACTTGAAATCAAATCCCATTTGGAACCACACTAAAATAAAAATAAAAGAAGTATGCCCCTCTCTCTCACGCACTCACAGAAATAAGAAGCCCAGACCACTGCTTTCTCCGATGCAATTGTCTTCATCACATCCAACATCGCTGTCTATGTTATGTACTATGTCTTTCTTCTCCCTTGCGGTCCTCCTCCTTATATATTCACTTTTCTTATAGTCCCCATATCTAACACTAGCTCTATTTCTTTCTTTCTTTCTTCTTCTATCTTCCCCAGCCCTATTTTTGTTCTCAGAGAAGCTTCTCTCTCTCTCTAGTAAACCATAACCATTTTTCGACACAGACAGATACACCCATATTATAAAGATATGTCTAGCAGAAGGTCGAGGCAGTCAGCAGGAGCTTCAAGGATCAGTGATGATCAGATCATTAATCTTGTGTCCAAGTTACAGCAACTTCTTCCCGAGATTCGCAATAGGCGTTCTGACAAAGTAAGTTATCTGAACAAATATTAAATGTAACGATAATACTGTTCTACTTGAGTACTCAAACCTTGTTTCTCACTCACTAATCCAAAGTCCAAGCATGTTGAATATAACATCACGTCATATCACAATTATTTTTAGTACTTATCTTTGTCTATATGTATAAACATAATTGTATATTTATAAGTATATATATTATGTATATATAAGTGAAATTATACGTACCTGAATTTGAGAAATAACACTAATTATTAAATTTGTTTAATATTAATCCTTAACTGTGTTATTTAATAGTGTACTATACCTTAAAATTCTTAAGGTCAAACAGGCAGTAGGACAATAAATATATGTAACATGGTAGCATATTGCATGTACCGTTTTATCAAATGTGGTTAGATAGCTGTGGGTGTTTTGTAGTTAATATGATTGAGCCTAGACAGCAAGTTGTACATATTTTTTTTATATGCATGCAGGTCCTCTCATTGACCTTACAAGGGTCCTTACAGTCCTTTGGAGGGACCAAACCCATGTGTTGTCCTTAAATTTTAATTTCATACGTACAATAAACGATTAGGACACTACCCACATGCTTATAAAATAGGTGTTATTACAAGAATGTGACATGTTGGTACGTAATTTATTTGGATTAGTAGTCTAATAATGAGAATTAATATTAATTAATTATTATGGTTATTTGATGTTTATATATGTAGGTATCTGCTTCGAAGGTGTTACAGGAGACATGCAACTATATTAGGAATTTGCATAGAGAAGTGGATGATCTCAGCGACAGACTCTCCCAGCTGTTGGCAACCCTTGATGCTGATAGTGCTGAGGCATCCATAATTAGGAGTTTGATCATGTAATCAATTTTTATTTATATATAAAGTGTTGTACTCATATATATATATATATAATAGCTACTTCTCGTTTTTAGGGTTTGGTAAAACCTATTATGCCAATCATGAGTCCGAATTTACATATATGTATGTATGTTCCTTGTGAACACATGTTGTAGTAAAGTTTGTATCAATAAGGGCTTTTACTTGGCAAACCTCCTATACATAGACGTTGTTTGGCATAAAGATTTTTGGGATTAAAAGGTTAAAATAACACAAAAAAATAAAATACGTTAAAAAGTCAATAAGACAAAATATTACATTCAAATTATAATTATTTTACTTTTTCTTTTACAAAAGTCAACAAAGGCAAAAAGCTTTAAGCAAACGAAACTTTTTAGTACGCTAAAATAGCTAAAAAGTCAAAAAGCCAACCTACTTCCTAAACAAAGTCTATAAACTTTAAAAACTTAGCTATTCTATTTGGTTCTCCAATTCAATTTGCACAATTAGCTTTAATTTGTTAGAATATACATTTGATGGCAAGTTCTTTACTTACATGTAAATAAAAAAAATTTCAATCTATTAAAATTATTATTTTGAAGAAAATGGGCAAGAAATTAAGAAACAAGAGAGGTAGCTCATCCAAAATCTCACTTAAAGAATTCCAACCTAGCTTGGTGAAAAAGAAATTGAGCCCTAATAGTTCAAATCATGCCGATAATAAAAACCAAAATAATATAAACTATATGCAAAGGCAATTAGAACTTGAGTTTGAACATGATGATTTTGACATTGAAGAAACTTATTGTGATTCTCCTGAAGCTTACAATGCCATGGTAGGTTCTAGTATTTACCATGGCTATGAACAAAGCTTGGGCAAAACAACCATACTTGAACCAATGAGGGGTATTGAGACAGCAACAAAGGCCACAAATGTGCAAGACTGCAATGAGACAAAAGGGCATGATCAGGTTCAGATGCCATGTGTAGAGGGGTTGGTAGGTGCTATGGACTCATCCGATCAGATTGAAGTATAAATGTCCAAAGCCATAGTTCCAATGGGTTGGGTAAGTCTTCTTCCCATAATGTTAATGTTATCTCTATGCCTCGGAGTGGTTTATTTAGATCTGCGATTGCTAAGAAGAAAGTAATTAAAAGTCTCAAAAGATACTCGGTGAGTTATGAGAACGATCAACTTCAAATCTCATTGGAAATCTCTAGAACTGGGTTTAAGCAATGGGAACATGCTCTTGTGGGTTATTTTATTGATAGAAAATTATCTTTCTTCCAAGTGAAGACTTGGACTTACAAATTGTGAAAGGAAAATCTTGAAAATGTTGTACTTTAGATAATGGCTACTTTGTATTCAAGATGAAAAATGAAGAAGCTTTAAAGTTCATTCTTGATGAGAGTCCTTATTATATTGGGAGCAAATTGATTGTTATTAAAAAATGGCACCCCGTTATGACCCTTACTAAAAATGTATTTTCAAGTGTGCCGATATGGGTAAAAATTTTCAATGTGCCGCTTGAACTATGGACTGAAGAAGGATTGAGTTAAATAGCAAGTTTTATCAGTAATCCATTGTACCTTGATGAATTTATCCAAAACCATAGCCAGTTAACATTTGCTAGAATTTGTATTGAGATAGAAGTTACTAAAGAGATTCCAAGTAAACAGATAACTCAAGCTCCTAGTAAACTCAAACAAAAGTGGAAGGCCAAAGAAGTGATCGAGACGAAGGAGGAAGGCAAGCCAAGTGAATGGGTTGAAGTGAAAAAGAAAAAAGACAAAGACGTCGTTAATGTTCATATGGGTAACTTTGTTCCTGTACCTCCTCCATCTGCATCAAATGCATTTGATATTCTCAATACTTATGTAGCCAATGAGGAGGTTTCTTTTTGTGCGGATCTTAATAGCGTGCTTAATGTGAATTGCTCCTTTTTGGAAGTGAGTAACCCCTCAAAAGATATTCCGAAAGAGGTTTCAAAGGAAGAGAAAGAAATTGTCAGGGATGTGGGTAATATAAATGTGTTAGCCCCTAAACGATCTTCACATTTCAAAGGAGCTTCGCAATCCCTTTCGTATTGAACTTTTATTGTTCCATGGACAAACCTATCTTCAAAAGTGAAAACCAAGAAAAAGCTCATTGAAAGAATTGCTAATATTAAACTTATTCAAGAGGTTATCCTCTCTATGAAATCTAAGAAATTAAGTCGAAAGATTCTTAATTGATTGTTACTTGGTCTAATTTTAGAATTTATTATTGTTAAATTTTAATATAGAAGGTAGGCTTGTATTTCCCTTCTCAAATGATTTTTTACCTCTGGACGTGTAATAATGGTCCCCTTATAATATTTATTTTTTAATATAAAACGTAAGACTTGCTTATCAAGAAAAAAAAAAAAAACTGTAAATATATAAAAAATATTAAATAATGTGTGCTAAACTCTGATGGTAGCCGTGTGAATTGTTGACTTTCTATTAATGTTACATGTGGGTTCAATATATATGTGTATGTACTCGCGAGTTTCCAAACATAATTGTTGAGGGAAAGCTTTCACACTACATGGGGTTTGAGTAAGTGAGCATGCAAAAAGCACAGGGATGTTTAATAATTTGGAATTATACCTACATTTTTTTCCCAGAGAGAGGAGAGAGTAATGAATGTTAAAGACTTTGATGATGGATTTTGAAAGCAATTCCTTCCTTTTATTACGTGAAGGAGGCAGTGGTAATTGACACTGACTAGCGTGATGCTTGGTGGACGGTGTGAGAGAAAGAAACTGAGACCAATTTACAATCAGACATTTTTCCAAGTGTCGGTATTGTCCGACACTGACAATTTCCAACGGAGTTGACTATGATACACTTGTTTTTTTAAAAGGTTACTAAAATGTAGAATTTCATAAGAAAGCAAAAAATATGATACATTATAAATATATTTTTTAGAATTTATTTAAAATATGAATAATTTTTTATAGTTTAAAAAATTATAAATATTCTTTTATTAAATTTTTTCATTTAATAAAATTAATTAAAAAAATAAAATTCGTAATTACTCTTCTATACAATAATAAATTACCTAAATTATTAATTAAACTATTACTTGAAATAATTTTTTAATATTATTAAAAATTATTAATTAATTTTATAATTTATTAATAAAAATAATCATTTATTTTGAAACTATAAATTTTAAAAAATAAAATGTTATTTCTAAAATTACAAAAAATTTAAACAAATCTCAATAAGTATATTTTTAATTTATCCCAAATAATATTAGCAAAGCTAATAAGTTCACCGTATAAAATTTTCCCATTTGAAAAATGCGTTTGTTAATTGAGTGAGACTTTTCTGCCATGTATATATCCGGTACACTACAGTGCAGTTTATTGGCTGTGGGCCATCTGGGATTTTGATAGTTCAAATTATTTGTTTTATATGTGACTCATTAAAAAAATAAATAAATTTATCATTTCATATCTTTTTAGTCAAAAGTTTAAGTAGGGGTGGTAAACAAACTATACAATTCGGGTTTGATTCGTGTTTGACTTGTTAAAAATTGGTTCGAGTTTGATTTGTTAAATAAATAAATTAAATTTGAACACATTTTAAAATTCGTTAAGGCTTTCAAATAAAGTTTGAACAATCAATTGCTCATTCTACTCAGTTCAATAAGCTTAAAGTTATATAAAATATCAAACTACTTAAACTTGACTCAATAAAAGCTCGTTTGAGATCGATTCGAAAGTTTAATGAATAAAGTTCCAACAAATTTTGAAATTCATTAAAGTTATGAAACCAAACTTAAATAGTTAACTGTTTGACTCATTTGATTTATTTATCACCCCTAAGTTTGTTGGAAATAATGGATTTTACAGGCTTATTTTGAGCCAACTTTGAACCTAAATTTGAGTGGGGCCCACATATCTTTTGGGGTGGGTCCAAAGATGTGACGTGTTTCTTTCCGCATGTTAAGTCATACGGTGAATACGGTTCGTCAAAACCATTTATGAGTGAATGAGAAGTTGATGTCGTTTTCAAGTTCGTGAAATGGGTAATTAAAAAAAGTAAAATGTGGGTTTTCTTGAAATAGATTGTTCCACATTGAAACTTAAAGATAGCTTGTTTGTGTTTATAAGATCTAGGTAGAAATACTTGGGTTGGGCCCCAAGGAGCACCCTAAGTTTGAAGAAGGGATGAGTTATGAACTAAGTGAGTCTTGGCTCAAACCATCACACGCGTCGCCACGGCCGGCCGAGCCGTGTCTGGCACTAGTGTGGATTGTGGGTCGGTTCTAATATTAATTTTTTGGACAAAATTTATTTGAATTTTTTTTTTCAAAAATTATTTTGAGAAAATTATTTTTTCTGAATGAAATTAATTCAAATTTTGCGTCAAATTTGAATTCAATTTTCAGTCCAAAACAGTTCCTCCTCCGATCCAATTTCCAGCGGTCTACCAAGTTCAAACAGGTTAACAGTTGTTCCAAACAAATTCAATTTTTCCAGACAGATTCAAAGCTAAGTTCAAACAGTTTTGCACTTGTTCTAGTTTGAATTCATATATGTTCGGGTTGAATTTCAAACCTGTTTGGCTCTATAAAAGTAGACCCTCTTCTAGCATATTTCTCATTCCAAAAAATCATTTTTCTTGCTTTCCTTTGTGCTCTCTTGTATATATATTCTACATATTATTTTAGAAATTTTTTTGAGAGTATAGAGCACAGGTTTTGTCCACCGTATAGATTGTTTGGCGTGCTAGTACAATCTGTGTAAAGATCATTGTATCCTGGGAGATAGATGCTGTACGAGTACGAAATAATCTTCTCGTATAATCCTGTTGACCAAGTTTGCACTCCCCCAAACGTTGTCGCTTTGCTACCTAAAAGTACAAACGTGAGCTAGCTTGCGGGTGTGTGCTAGAAACCCCTCTGATGCCTAAGTCAGCAATTAGACAATAGACAAAAAGCTCTGTGTATTTGAGAGTAAGAATTGTGATACCTGTACATAGGTCTTGTCATGAGCTTTTATAGATTCCGCCTGGCACAATCCTAGTAGGACTTCAACTCTCTTTAGCAGAGTCCTCCTAGGAATCACACTTCCAAGGATAATGCCTATCCTAATAACTCCCTACTCACTGTTATCCAAGTGAAATGGTTTTCTAGCTCGATTAAGTCGATGTGGCTTTAACCGAGCTAGCTTACCTCTGTAGTGCT